TTTTGCTTTGATATATTTTTTTTTAAAATTACTGTATATAATTTACTTTATAATTATTTTATCCTTAAAATTTAAAATATTCTTTATCATTATATTTTTAAGAAATATATTTTTTTTTACACTTGCGATATAATGTATTTTCCTTTTTTAATAATTTTTAATTTTTATATATTATTTTGATTATATGATTTCATTTAGATTTCCTATTTTGATGTAAAACCTTATACACTTACTATATATTATAAAAAATCTTACATTATGTATATTTTTAACTGCTCTATAAATTTTTTTAATATATCAAAAAGGATTTAAAATATCATTTTTAATTTTTATATATAACATATTATAGGAGTATAATATAATGAAGATGTAATAAAAAATAAAACCTATTTTTTAATTCTTTTCAATTCTTAATCTCTTTTGCCATTTCAAATATTCTTTTTATTTTTACAAATATACTTATTTTTTCCTTATTTTCTTTAAATATTTTTTTATTTTAATGTATTTTTTTTTTGAAAATTACTATATATAATTTACTTTAAAAAATATATTTACATTATAAAAATATCTAATTATTTTGCTTTTTACTTCTCAATTTATTACTAATATTATAACTTTACTATTTACTTTTTATTTTTTTATTTTATTTTTTTTTATTATAGCATATTTAGTAATTTATTTTTTTTTATTTTTTTTTTAAATTTTATAGTTTATTAATTTTGACACTTGGAACTATTAAAGTTGCTGGAGAAACTAGAGGGTTTTGGCAAGTTGGCAAAATGCCAAAATGGCGAAACTTTACTGAAACTACAGTCAGACCCCCATATAGTCACCTAATTGGTTCCCATAAAATCAGTGATTGTATAGGGGTGTGCTTATATACAGGTACTATATCTTAATTTTGGCTGAAATTAGTAAATTATAACATATGGGCCGATTCAACGCATAAAATGGATTTGGCCAACATTATCAGATATTTTAAGGGAAATTTGGCTAAAATTACGGTATTTTCGGCCAAAATTACAGCATGTCCAACAGGTGGAAAACAGGTTTTTGAGAAGACGATAGATAATTATTATTATAACTTTATACTATCTTGCCAAAAATAATAATTTTGTAACTAAAGTAAATTTGTTAAGCTTTACAATTATTGTTATATAGAAAAAAAATACTTCATTGAAATTTTTTAACAAAAATTTTAATAAATAACAAATTTACTACTTAATGCATCAAATCGGCCCATATGTTTATAAAATTATGTGATCATTACGGATATTTCCTTTTTTGGGGGGTCGTTAAAGCGGGGTAGAGTCACGTGATCGTTGCGATCACGTGACGATCAAGGTTGGTCTGGAAGATAAACAATTACACATTATTTATGATAAATATATGATAATGTATTTTTTTTTTTACCGAAATTTTTTCCCGCTTTCTAAAAGTCAAACGATAAAAATAACATAACACCTTTACGCGACTTTATAAAAATCTTATTTTTTTGGATTTTTTAAAAAAATACACTATTAAGATTAATTTTTAACAAAAAAATCAGCACTTTATTGTTTATCGATCTTTTAGTAAGATATTTAAATATGAAAATGTTTTTTTCAGCTTATTTCAGGAAAATAATAACATTTTTTTCTGTTTTCTAAGCAAATTTATTATCTTTAATATGACTACATCTCCCGCCCCTATTTTGAATATGTCCCCTTTTGTTGTTGCGTCATCAGAAAACCTCACACCAGATGAAATACGAAATCTCCTCTTTAATGTAGATTGTTCTTTAGAAATTCCAATAGATGATTTCAATGAAAATTGGTGGCCATTAATTACAAATATCTGGACAAAGTGGACTTCATATAAACATGTAAATGGTGATGTCTGGAAAGTTTTTGCGTGCTGTCTTATGAAGTTCCGGGAATCAAGTACACGACAAAAGGAAAATGTTCCAAGTGATAAATGCCGAATAACAAAAAAACGATCATCTGATTTATGTTATGCTAAAATTAAAGTTTCGTGGTTAGTTTCGTTAAAAATAGTCCAAATCGAACGTTGCAAAAATTCTCCAAACCATGCACATTTGTTGTTGGAATGTGATAGGATCAAACGCCCTCAAGTGATTCGGACCTTAGTGGAAAAGGAAGCAATAAAAAATTACACACCACCAGCAATTGCTTCAGCTGTCAGAGAATATGCAATAAAGGAGTTAGGCCTTGGTACAAGTGTTAGTGAGTTAAAACGCCAAGAAGTAGCTAATATTAAATATAAAATTCGCGGACATATGGAAAAAATTTTTATTGGTGATTCTAATTTAATGTTGGATATTTCACAATGCATGTCCTATTTAATAGAAAAGGAATATAAGGTTGAAAGATACAGCACCCACCAATCCTCTAAAGGAATCGTATTTGCACATCCCGAACAAATAAAAAAACTTGAACAATATGGATGGCTAACCCTTATAGATTCAACTCACAAAACTAATAGATACGATTGGCATTTGTTCACCTTGTATATTCGTGATACTTATGGGTGTTGGGATGTAGGTGCTCACTTTTTCGTGAGTAATGAAAGCTGCGAAACTGTCTCACAAGCATTAAAAATAATTCGTGATAATTATTGCCACTGGTCTCCTCGGTATATTCTTTCTGATCAAAGCAGCATAGAGGCCAAGAGCATCAAGAAAGCTTTTCCTGGTATAAATGGCGGTGAACAAGAGTGTGAAGTGATTCTTTGTGTTGTGCATATTATGAGGTTGTGGATGTCAAAGATTTACGATAAAAAAACCCGGGACGTTATGGTTGCTGCAATGCACAAAAGAACAAAAATTGGTTGTGAGAAACTAATTCAAGAAGCAATAGATAACTGTGCTGTTTCTTCTATTCAAAATTACATCAAGAGGAATTACATGAAAAATACGGAACGGTGGGCACTATGGGCTCGTCAACATTCTCCTTTACTTCTGCAAGTTACCTCCACAAATCCACTAGAATCTTATCACAGCGAAATAAAAAGATTGACATCTTCAAAACATGGTTTAGTCGGTACGTCCCTCATTTTCCACAGCCTTTTTTCATTATCTAATTAATCCAACTCAATTTTTCATCTTTAATTTGTTCATTTCTATCTACCCGTTCGCTTTCTGGCTATCAATTCGTTCACAATCATTATCTGTCCATCCATCTGTTCATCCACTTCCTTTATTTTAGGTGCTGTTCAAAATATTGTTAATATTGACCTTAAGAAGCGTTCTGATTCAGAAAAAGTTGCATTTGACTTTCGTACCAAAAAAATATCTGCTCATGGTGTAGAAGACGATATTATTGAAGAAATTCACAAGTTTCCCTTTCCACTTCAACGTTTAATCGTTAAAGAAGCTTGTGCTGTAATGAATAGACTTGAGAAAGGAAAAGGTGCACCGGGTTTAACTTCGCTTGACTGTCATTGTTTGTTCTGAAATCGATACTTGCTTCTGTGCAAGCACATCTTCCATGAACATATGTATGGAAATACAAAACTGTTAACTGCCGACGTATGGAAAATGTTTCAGGAAATGTTTGAAGAGAGCGGTTTTGAAGTATATGAAAGTCGTGAATCAGTAATAACATTTGTACAAACAGAAAAACAAAAAGATATTGAAAATCGAAGACTAACCGTAGCTGAACTAACTGAAAGAGTCCGTGATAGATACTGGAGGGTCGAAGAGATGGGTAACGTTAGGAGGACAGAGGCTTATATCTCTATGTTAGAGTCCTCTATAAATCCAATTATTTCACAATTTGAAAATAAATAAAATCGTAAAACTTTAAATTTTCTTTTATTTTAAAAAATTATATGCATTAAAGAATTAAGTGGCAACATTATAATTATAAATAAAATAAAATAAAAATTTTACAAGTTTTTCTAAAAACGAAAAAAAAAATACATTATCATATGTTTATCATAAATAATGCGTAATTGTTTATCTTCCGGACCAACCTTGATCGTCACGTGATCGCAATGATCACGTGACTCTACCCCGCTTTAACGACCCCCCTTTTTTGGTGATAGCCGTTCCACAAAAAATTTTTTGCCGATTTTGTGTTGGAATGTCATGTAACATTAATTCCTAAAAAGGAAAGAAAAAATTATATGTTTTGTAATTCTGGGCGAAATTGCTTTTGGCCGAAATTATGATGTGATTAATAGAGGTCTAATCACTAATAGAAATGATATATCCGTTTGGGATTATGCGGTGATAGTGATTATAGTCAAATTGTGATTATAGAGGGGTAATTTGTTAGTATTTAAAACCGTTTCTCAAAATCGAGTTCTTATAAAGAGGTGTGACTGTATAGGGTGTGACTGTATGGGGGTCTGACTGTATATGAAAGTCTTATTAAAAAGTTGGCGAAACTCTGGAGAAAAATGAAACCTGACAAAACTTATTATAAATGCTGAAACTGCTGAAATCTTGCCAAAACTATAATAAAACTATAGTAAAATTTTGGAGAAACTAATCGTAGAATTTTAAAGAGATTTAGGCTGACAACCTTAGGAACTATACAATATAGGAGTTACACTCCATGAAAATACAGCAGATAGGTCAACCACATTTAGTAATTTATTAAGTTTATAAATAAATCAATACAAGTATATATAATCAGACTAAATAAAAATAAAATTGTTCTTTATTCATGAAGTGCAATATTAAATATGCTTTAAATTTCTAATAAATTTTGTAAATTTTTATAAATCCAGAATTTTTTTGGTCATAATATAACAGTTTTCTAGAATATTTTAAAATTATTAGAAATTTTATTTATAATCTATTACTAGTATTTATTTTATAATTATTATATTGGTAATACAAAAAAAATTATTAGTTAAAAAACTAGTAATTTACTTATGTATCAGAAAATCTGGTAAAATTAAAATAACTATTCTTAATTTTTAAATTTTAACTTCTGGATCACATGGACCATTTTTTCCCAAGAAAATTTCAGCAACTTTTTCATTAAAAAATGGCTTACGACAATAATAACCAACCTCTAGTTGACTATTTAAAAGTCAAACAACATATTAACAACCTTGGAGATAGTTCTTTTCTTAACTTTTTGAAGATTGGCCTAAGAGAATATGCCGCAAATAATATAAATGAAAAACACATAGTTAATACCGTTAAACAAACTGCTGGCGAAGACTTAGCACCTTATGAAGCCCTATTATCTGAATTTCGAGATGTTTTTAGTATCTTTGGAATGAAGAACCTTACCAAACTTTATCACTTTCTCTTTATTGTATTTACATACTCTTAACATTTTCAACTCTTGCTTGGTCAGGGGATTGATAACTTTTGGAAGCAAAGTTTGATGACGTCATTACAACAAACCAATTACGTGTCCAGTTTCACAGAAAATGCCTCGACAGATATGGAAATTTATGCATATCCTGAACCTCAATCACAATTACAGCAACTTGTAGCACAAATTGAGTCAAAAGTAGATCAGATGGAGGAAGAGCCCTCTATTCCTGTCTCACTTTAAACTCTTAAAGCAGATGCCGTAGCTTTTACTTCTAAAGGAAAAGGAAGGAAGCAAATTTCCTATGCGGAAGCAGTTAAACAGGACTCGAATAGTGACTCCAGCAGACCAAACTCGCCTTCTCCTAAAATGAATAAAAAGATGAAAAAAACTGCGCCCGTTTCAAAAACTAGCTCGTCTAGTACTAGCTGTAAGGCTCCTAAGAAACAACCTACTACACCTGCGCTCAAAACAATTAGCACTGTGATAACAGGATACAATCCCAAAATTAAGGAGAATATTCAAGAAATCACAGTATATGATATTCCCTTCCGATGGACCCAACTTGATGTTCTTAATCACTTAAAGGCCTGGGATCAAGTTATTGCGATTAAATTTAAATCGCAACAGAAATAAACTACCGTTACTGTATCAGTGAACCTCAACAAAGCAGCATTGGATCTATGGAATAGTAGAGCATGAACCGCTCTACTTGGAGATTTACCCATAAGATGGTTTCTAGCTACTTGGGATCTAAAACAAAGAAAAGAACGGGAGCGATTCATTGGAATTCCTGTTTTTATTACCATTGCAACCTTATACCTGGAAAATCCTGTTTACTCTATTCTTACACCTGTGAGGTGTAAAGCATTTAAATTAATTCAAGATAGGGGCACCTGCAAATTGATAACTTACTACGAATCATAGGCTGACTTGAATAAAGTTATTGATAAGGCTTTCAGTTTACTTGAATTTACAGGTGATTGGAAAAGGTATTACTCCCCCTAATTTAAAGCAAAGAAGGAACTGCCATCAGAAGGTAAAACAAGATGACAATTCCAAGATATCACAGAATAATACTAATACATTTAAGCTAGATAAGAAACAAAAGGAGACTAAGCGAACTAAGAAAATTGATAAGAGCTTAAACGACGTTGACAAACTAACTGTTTTAGCTGAAATTAAATCAATGCTAAGAAAATTAGGAGTATCTTGAGAAATTCTGTACAGAATGATCAGTGAGGCCTAGTTTTAGAAGTGTAGTAGTTGTAAGGTGGTTTTGTTGTCGGCTTTTACCTTTTATTTTTTATTTTTATTTTTATTTTTGTTGTTTTCGTTTTATTTTTTTTTGGTATGAAGTGTCATTTGACACAAGTGTACTTAAACATTCTCATTACACAGCGGGAGTGGGGGACTTTCCTTATTTGTATCTTGTATTGTTACAATGTTATCATAAAGTTTCGACCAGTCATACTATAAATAAAAAAAAATAAAATAAATTTTAACTTCTATGTACTGATGTTACTATTTTGAAAAAAAATATTGGTATATTAAATTATTAGTATAATGATATATAATAGATTTTTACAATCATTTAATTTTAACTTACATTATACTAATTAAAATTCAATACATACTACCAAATTGAATTTATATTCAGTAAGAAATAGTAATTTATTATTGCAAGAAAATTAGCCAAAAGTAATATAAATCAGATTTTTATATATGTTACTATAAAGAAAACAAAAAAATTGTATCAGTATATATTAGAAGTTTGATATTTATATTCTATTTTACAGTAGGCGATCAAAAGTATACGGACACTTTTCAAAATGAAAAAATTTATATACATAATAATAAAATTAAAATAAAAAATTAAGTTAAACATATTCATTGTGTCTTTATTTATTAAACTTTATTAAACTAGATAAAAATTTATTGATAAATTTCATTTTCATTTGTGCCTTAATTCTATGAGATATGTAATTGATCGACATTTAAAATATACCAGAGAAATATATTTTATGCATTTTTTTTTCATATACTTTTCAAGTATTTTATCAAGAAATTTAATATAACATGCAAACATAATGTAAATAATAAAATTTTGCATAAGTTTATTAGCTCAATGTAAGGTTATCAAGTAAAATTTTACATGAGTTTACAGAATTTGCAAAATTCATATAAATTTAAGATTTATTAAGAATATTTCAGTATCTAGTGATTGGATTTTTATGATCTTAGATTTATTAGATCTGCCTCATTGAGTTTATTCGAATGATAATAAAATAACAATTGTAAAATCAATATTTGGCACACAATTATATTTTAATTATTTAGAATTATTCTATACTATCATATTTTGATTCAATGATCAGATTTTCACGATGTTTAGCTCATTAGATTCGCCTCATCGAGACGATTCAAATGATACTAAAATCATATTTATTAGAACGATATTGATTAAGTTACATTATTTTCAAATTTTGTGAACCGTATAATAAAATTAAAATAATTTATGCCATAGATAGTTTCATATTTCTAAAAAATTCTGAAAAATATAAAGCATAAAATTTTGTTTATTATGATTACAAATATTAGATTATAAATTATTTATATCACATTAATACATAATTTTTTGCATAATTTGGTAAAACAAAGTGTCCTTATACTTTTGATCACCTACTGTAATTAAAGAAAAAAACTTAAAAATCAATTTTTTCTTTTTTTTTAACAATCAGTTTTAGATTTTTAATAATAAAGATTTATATTTTATACTTATAATTAATATAGTAATCATAAAAGAAATATTTATTACATAAAAAATTCAAAACCAAATAAAGTATGCTTAAAGGAAGGAAATGCTTATACAGGAGATACTTATAGGTAGGATCAACTGTATTAAAAAAAAAATAATTTTTTTTACTTTTATATTTTTCTTTATAAATCTACCTTTATAATATATTACAATCTATAATTTAATATTAAAAGCTTTATATCAGATACATGTGGTATGAGGGATTACTAAGCAGGGGTTACACAACGGTAATGTACTATCAGCTAAAATTTTTTTTTTAAAAAAAAATATTACATTTTAATTTCCAACCATGGCTGATACTGCCGATACTGAGAATAAGCAAGTCGTTACGGAATCTTCAAGGGGAACTGAAGAAGTAAGAATAATTTGACGCGTTTGTATAGTGTGCAGTAATATTTATCTTATCTTTCTTTTAATAAATAGGAGGACGTGGTTCCTTCACCTGACATTCACTTTGAGCCCCTTGTCAGTCTTGACGAGGTTGAGGTGAAAACATTTGAAGAAGACGAGGATGTTTTATTTAAAATGTGAGTAAATAGAACAAGGTTGAGATCCTATATTTTTATTTCTAATGTATGAATGAGTGAAGCCCTTATCCTTGGTTAGCCAACAGCAAATTCACTTGCTTTTTACAGCCTTTCAAAATAGAAGGGAAAATGGACTGCAAGTTTGCTAATCTGTTGAAGATTAAATGGGGGAAATTCTGTGAGATCGAATTATAATAGGACCATCTCTACACTGCGAGCTTCCAAACATATTTAATAAATATAATTGTTGGTTTTTTTTAATTAGGCGCGCCAAACTTTTTCGATTTGATAAACCCTTAAAGGAATGGAAAGAACGAGGCACTGGAGATGTTCGTTTTCTTCAGCATAAAGAAACAAAAAAAATTCGTCTAGTAATGCGACGAGATAAGACTCATAAAGTTTGCGCCAATCATTACAGTAAGTGCGAATCTATTTTAAGAAATTTAATTTATTTTTTATGCGATTCCGATGTTTAAACCCATAGTATATTCTAGTTACTTCCGAAATGCAACTTTCCCCAAATGTTGGATCAGATCGCTCGTGGGTGTGGAATGTTAATGCTGACGTTTCTGATGGCGAACCAAAAGCAGAAACGTTAGCTATTCGGTTTGCAAATATTGAAAGTACGTTTTATAAGATATATGTGCTGTTTACATTCATTATGTGTAAGACCCATTTTAATATAATGATATATTTAATGGAATAGATGCTAATTCCTTTAAAGAGAAGTTTTATGAAATGCAAAAGATGAACATCGAAATTAAAGAAGCAAAGAAAAATGAAACTCCTAAGAAGGATGATGAAAAAAACAATGTAAAAGATGAGAAAGACAAAAAAGATGAAAAAGATGAAAAGAAACAAAAGGATGAAAAAGATGAAAAGGATGAAAAGGATGAAAAGGATGAGGAAAAAACTTCTTAAATATGTTTATTTCATCCAAATTAAGCCAATTAAACTATTATTATTAAACATTCAGTAATAATCATTTACAATAATTATCTATTAATAATGAAAGTTAGTAATAACTTAAAAACAAAACCAATAAATAATAAAATTGTAATTAACTGAATCCAACAATAACAATCTAATTATAAAGCCATATAAGTAAAATTTTCTGGTTTTTTTATTAGCATTTCTTTTCAGAATATTATAATTAAAACTGAAATTATAACCAAAAGTTGAAAAACAATAAGCTTATATAGCAAAATTACCAAAATACTAAAATATCAAAACTGCTTAAACTATTAAAACTTTCTAAAATTCTAAAAAATAATATTAATTAATAAAAGTTATTACTATAAAAATTACTATAAAATTTTTTATATTATAAAATTAATCCAAAAATTAGTAAATTTTACTTTAATTTTATTTAATTTCAATATTTTATAGTAAATTTATTAGGGTATTGCTAAATATCACCAGTGGTGATCATCACCACACCACTTAATTCTGGCTGAAAATTATAATTTTGGCCAGAGTTAAAAAACACATCGTAAATTTTTTTTAAAAAATTTCAATATGTGTAAAACAAACCTGAAAAAAATTTTTTTTAAAACAAAAAATTGTATTTTGCTTATAAAATCAAACTTTCCTATTTTTCTCAAAAACTATCTAAACAACAGCCTTTATAATCTAAGGCAAACTTGTTCTACCCATAAATTTACATATAATAATGATATTTATATTATAATTAGAATAATATTTCAGTCAAAAATTTTTGAAAATTCAAAAAATATGTGATGATCACCACTGGTGATATTTAGTAATACCCAATTTATTAAATATAAATTTTACTTTAATTTATATATTTATAAACTATTTTTTAAGGGTATTGTTAAATCTTCTAGTGGACAATTTGGTTAGAATTATAAAATACTAGGCTAGAATTAAAAAATACTGATTATAAAATTTTAACTTATTGCGGTTTTCAAATTAATGTGATTGGCAAATTTTTTTAATAAATAAATATCAACTGCAGAATTATTATGAAAAGTGATTATGTGGGTATATAAACTATAAATGTTATTTGATTTACATAATGCTAAGCTAACACTATATCATGTTCAAAATATTTTTTACTATTCGTTTCATATTTTCACTAGCAATATACAACTTGATAGTTTCGATTTCTATAATTGATTTCCAACTTTATTTTATGTAATTCTTATTATTATATTAGTGGTTACCATATTAAAAAGTACCAGAACAAAAAATAATTAACCATTAATTATTAGAAATAACTTTCTGAATATAATTTGTATAGGAATTTCAGTTATTTTCAGTTATTTTCAGTTTTTTCGTTATAATTGATTAACAAATTACCTGATCACACTAATCGAAAAATACAATAAATAATAATATATTAATAAATAATAAATATTGATTTAATGTTAATCATAACAAAATTTTAAATTTTTGTTAAAAAAACTTTTAGTAAAGTGAAAAATCAAAAAATTAAAATTTTGCATTTTTTTTAAAAAACAATTTTTTTGATTTTAGACAAATTTTTTCTTTTTGTAAATTTACATATAAATAACTGTTTTTTAAAAAATTGAATTAGTGAAAATCACTAGTGTAATAATCATTAATGGTAACATTTTTTTTATTTTAAAGTAAATATTAAGAGTTTAATTCCATATAATAAAAACAAAACATTACAAATATAAAAATAATACTTAATTTACCTGGTACAAATATGCTTATATATTAAAAAAAAAATAGATGCAGAAAAAATAAAATAAAAAAAAAGAGTCTCACATAGTGCTCTGAAACGAGTCGAGTTGACTCGCGAGTTGGTCGAGTCGAGTCGAGTTGAAAATTACAATCAAATCAAATCGATTCGAGTCGAGTTAATAATTTAATAAAATCGAGTCAAGTCAAGTTAAGCCGAATTAAATATAATTCCGGCCAAATTCATGGAATTTCCTTTTTGGAAATTATGTTACACAAAATTCAAGACGAAAATTTTTTGAAAATTACAAAAATGGAATTTTGTGGAATGGCTATTACCAAAAAAAGGAAATGATTGGCATATCGAATAAAATCACGTGATTTAATTCGACTCGACTCGATTCGGTTTGACGGGCCAACTCGACTCGAATTGAGTCGAGTTTATATTTTTATAATTTTAACTCGACTCGACTCGACTCAATTTAACTAAAGCATTCTTTAGAACTAATTTAAATACATCTAATTTTCTTAGTATCAACTTTATTTTTACTAATATTAAAAACTTATCAATACCATTTAAGTCTCAATTTTCTTAATTTTTTTGACCATCTTTTGCTTCTTACTCAATTGAGTATTAGTATTATTTGTTTAAACCTTAGAGTCATCTTTTTAATTTATTTTCTGAGAGGATCTAAAGGTAAAATATTTTATCTAATCATCAGTAAATTCGTCTAAACTAAATAATTTACCAATGCTTTATATTTTAAGGATATAAGTAGAACTCTAAATAGGTCAGATCAGATCAGATCAGATCAATTGGTTAACCTAACTTGAAACTTTTTTTTAGGTTAAATCAGGTTAGGCGACCTGTACCGAATTGCACTAAGCTTATCTGATCTATTTGATCTTAATAGATTAGATTAGTTGGTTAATCTGATTTTTTTAGAATGGATAATTATTTATAAATAAAAATGAAAAAAACATCAGATTATAAAAAATAATAAAAAATATTACAAACTGGCATTTTTTATAAATAAAAGTAAAAAAAATGCCATAAACTGGTAATTTTAATAAATAATACTAGAACGGCATTTTTTTTATAAAAAATAATGAAAATGCCATAAACCAGCATTTTTATAAATAAATGCCAGAATGGTGTTTTTTTTCATAAATAATTATAAAAAAATACTACATCCTAGCATTTTTCATTAAAAAATGTAAAAAAATGCCATAAGTCAGCATTTTTCATAAAAGAAATGAAAAAATACCATAAACTGGTATTTTCATAAATAAAAGTGAAAAAAAATGCCAAAATAGCGTTTTTAATAAATATGAAAAAATACTATAAACTGGCATTTTTCATAAATAAAAGTAAAAAAATGTTGGAATGGCATTTTTTCATAAATAAATATTAAAAAATGCCATAAATCAGCATTTTTTATAAATAAAAGCAAAAAAAAATGCTAGAATGGCATTTTTTTCATAAATAAATATAAAAAAATGCCATAAACCAGCATTTTTCATAAATAAAGTGCAAAAATGCCAAAATAGCGTTTTTTTATAAATAAATATGAAAAAATGCCATAAACTGGCATTTTTACATTTTCATAAATAAATATAAAAAAATACCATAAATCAGCATTTTTTATAAATAAAAATAAAAAAACACTAGAATGGCATTTTTTTTATAAATAAATATAAAAAAACACCATAAATTGTAAAAATCCAGTTTTTTATTTTTAGGTTAACAGGTCAACCAGATCAGGTTGAAGCCTTAACATGATCTGGTACTAGATCATAGATTTGATAACTTGATTTGATTATTTCAGATCAACCTGATCAGGTCATCTGAAATCACTTAATCTATTCAGAGCACTAGATATAAAAATAGAGTAGACCGGATTATCTAGATATAATAGTTATAGTAATGAAAATAAGAATTTCTTTAAATATAGCTTAGAATCTTCTGTTCTTTTCTTTATTTAAAATTCCAGTTGGCTAAAAATTATTATACAAGTAAACTTCTAAGTCTATATTTCTTCATTCCATAATCTCATTACCTTTTGATTAAAGCCAATAAATATTGTATATTTTTGTTGTGATTTAAATTTAATCGCAATCATTTGACTTTAGGTTTTTAAGTAATTAAGGGTCCAGTATATTACATCATCATTTGTATATAACCATATAATGATCATTTTATACTAGGAAACGGGAACTGTTGGAGCGTCCGAAGTATTCAGTATAATTAATAATTGTACATTTAATACTAAAAAAAATTGTCAGCGTGCTGTGCATGCCCAAATTCTTGTGTAATATTTGTCTAAGATATCTCACTAAATACTTTCATTCTAAGTCAAAATATAATCAGTTTTCACCCTTAACATAATTTTTTCAATATTATTTCTTCTATCAAAATAAGTAAAAGTTTAGCCTTTTCTGCTTAAAGTTTTCTTATTTATTTATTAAAATTTTATTGATATCACCGTAACACATGGCTAAATTTGTATATATGTAAGACAAAATTTCATTCGTCGATCAGGCTATAGTACAGAACGACATTGCATTTGAAATGCGTAGAAGTAGTATGTCCTCATACTTCGGACAATGATTACATGACCACGAAATTGATGAGAAAACTTTTGAAAAAATAAAATATTTCCCAACCTACCATATGAATTTTATTAAATATACATTTAAATAATAAATATAATGCATCCTATCTACATTTTAACCATTTATTAATATTTCTATATATTTTTATGGACAAAACTTAATGAAAATACCATTTGCTTGATTGATATTGTACATTAAAAATAATAACTCCACAAACGCCAAATATATAATTCAAGGTTATTAAATTAATTTATTTGCCTTTCCATTTCATTATAAAATTATAATAATCTAATTATTACTTCACAACACATGAAATATTTTGTATTTAGTTTAAAG